AACCCTAACATCAAAACCTATTTAATATAGGCCGATATTGATCAATTAGTATAACCTGTCACACATTCCGGACTTGCCAACTTTTTTATATGAATCACATGGGTTGTTGTGCAATCATAATCTGATTTAAATTTTGGATACTGGTTGAATTATCGTTATACTTTTACTATCGCTATGATAAGGCAACTGGCAGATAAATTTGATCCCGATTCTTTACTAGCCTTGGAAAAAGCTCTTCTCAAAGTACAAATTTTATATTACTGATTACTATTTTACCTTATTTTGGATCGTGGCTCTTACACATCTGTACGTAAATAGGTACCTCTTGTACAGCTCAGAGGTTCTACTTCGAAGGCTTATAAAAACTTTGAAAAGGAATCAAAGCACCTTCAAATGCAGATCAAACAACTGCAAAGTGAAATTGCTTCGACTAACAGAGCTGATGTCGATAAAATTAAGGAAGTTCACGAGAACATCGAAAAATGGTTTAGAAATTCGAAAATCGAGGCATGCTTGCGAATTTTTTTTTTTTTCCTCAAATGTTTTATGAAAGTATAATGTAATTATTAATATTGATCCTCTTTATAGTTTCTTGAAGCTCATGGAGAAGGACAAAAACATGTTGCAAGAGGCCGACAGCGAGTTGACCATCTCGCTGAAGTATCTTCAATAACTAGTGTCTATGATCCAAAGTACAAAGAATGGACTGGAAAGCGAGCAGATCGGGTTATTATTGATTATTTATTGAGAGAAGGATTTCGTGATACAGCAATCCAGTTGGCCCGTGAATCCGATATTGAAGTATATATTAAAATTTTTAAAAATATTCATATTTTTTTGATCCGATCTAAATTCCTTTCTTTCTATAGTCATTGGTTGATATTGAGCTGTTTACAGAAGCTCACCTCATTGAGCAGGCTTTACGAAAAATATATCAATAAACTAACAAATTACTCAAGTAGATTTAGATCTAGAATTAAGTAGTTTTTATTTCTTTGCTCTGCTTTCTACTTTAAAGCCTTAAAGATATAGTTTTCTTCTTTTGAGCTTTTTTTCTAAGCCTATACTAAGTAGTATATTTATTAAACTTAGACTTGAGACTATTATATTCTATTCTTTAAATATTTTATATTTTAGTTTCTCTATTATGATTTTTTCTGTATGTTTTCAAATCTTTTAGTATATTTCATATATAGCTAGATAGTTAAATATTTCTTCTATTCTATAATAGGCTATACATATTTTGCCTTTGTATAGCTTAGGTTCTTTGATAGTATTGTTATTAAATGAGTTTTAGTAATTTTATCTTTAGTTTATATTTATTAATTAGTTATTCTTTATTTGTATTTTATAAATTATCTTATAAGTTAGCAATATCTTTAACTAGCA